CCTCCTCGGTCGCACACGATTTCTCGCGGGCCGCACTAAAGGGTTCAGAGACCTGCAACTTCCTGAACCTGCAACTTTTACTAGGCTAAAACCATTCCGAAACACCTCCGAAACACTCCCGAGCCCTCGGGGCTCCTAACCAAACATATGCACTAACTCAACAACAACATACGAACTTATCCGTGCGATCAAATCGTCAAACTAACCTCAAAAACAATGAATCAAACCTCAAAATCAAGAGTTTTTCCAAAAACTTCATCAAGTTCAAATTTAAGATTTCAAGTCCGAAACACGTCAAAGGACGTCCGATTTTAACCAAACTTTACAGAAACCTCTTAAATCACATATAAGACCTGTACCGGGCGCCGGAACCAAAATACGGGTCCGATACCAACACGTTCTAATCAATTTTCATTTCAATTTTCCTTAACAATTTCAGAAAAACAATTTTACTCGAAAATTCATTTCTCGGGCTTGGGACCTCGGAATTCGATTCCGGGTATACGCCCAAGTCCCATATTTTCCTATGGACCTTCCGGGACCGTCAAATCACGGGTCCGAGTCCGTCTACCCAAAATGTGGACCGAAGTCAAATTTATTCATTTTAAACTCAAAACTTAGCATTTTTCACAAAATTTCACATTTAAGCTTTCCTGCTATGCGCCCGGACTGCGCACGCTAATCGAGGCGACTTTAAATGAGGTTTTCAAGGCCTCGGAAGCACAGAATGGGTAAGGAAACAGGTGATGACTCTTTGGGTCGTCACAGATATTAGAAGGAATATACGATACCATTAAATTAGGAAAGTAATTAATACCCTTAAAAACCACTAATGATATATAATTGGTAATTAGGTATACTAAATGTAATTATATCAAATCTTAAACCTCTTAAGGGTAATATAGTTTCCTATATGACATAGGAATTTAAAAATTCCTTTTTCTTATAGTTACATTCCTTTTTCATCTCATGAAATTTTAGTTACACAATAAATTCCTACGTTTTAGAGACCAAATATGAACGCTGATATATATAAATTGAATATTCTTTCTACAACGTTAAAAATCAGAGCAAACAAGACAGAAAAGAAATTTCATTTCAAGCTTTATCGTGTGATTAGAGCTTCACATGGTATTATCTGGTGATATTTCTATTGGCAATTGTAATCGGGGAGAATATATCTATGGGTTATTTTTGAACAAATGTACAAAAGAATGGACTATTCCATTCTTCACTTTGTATTGGAGGCTACAGGCTATGTCCTCCTCCATGTTTTGCTTCTTTTTGACTATATACATGTTGGGGTACTAGCCTAAAATCCCCATCACGATGATGGATGTTTGAAAAAAAAAATGAAAGGACATAGTTAATATATTATAATACTCATCTTTCTTCATCATTCGACCAAAAAAAAAAATCTTTCTTCATCAAAACAAAGTTAATAAGCTCCATACTTACATATATAGTATTATCTGCCCTAAATTCAAATCTATGAATTAACCCCAAATTACGTTGTTTATAAGCATTTTCATTATCATAAAAAGGAGGGTTTAATAAATTATTTAAACATACTTTGTAATCACCCCACGAAGCGCGATTATATAAATTAATTTGTAGAACTAAAATTGTAATCATGCCTAAACTAAAAACCTGTCCTATACAACGTCCCAACGCCGCTAGTTATCACTTTGATCAACATTAAACATGGTGATAAATTAATTGATTACTGGAGAAGGAAAGTGCTTGCATAAAATACTACGTACTAACAATCAAGACAATCATTAAAAGAAATCTATTTAATTAAATGACAACTAAGGTCCCAACTTTATGTTGAATAAACAAAAGTGGGACATCGAATAGTTCCATAATTTCTCCTTTAACTCTATAGGTGCCCATGGCACGACTCCTACCCTTATTTCCAGATCATTCCTGATCTAAACTACTAATCCGTGGGCTAACCATGATTAAAATTTCATAATGAAAATTTAATTCAAACCATGTTGTTTCTTGGAAATGTGCATCAACCCCAATTAATTTTTCGAATAGCCCCTCTAATTTGCTGAAAATCAGTTGACTTTGCTAAGATGATCAAGAAAGAAGAATCGCCATTAATGTAAAATTGATTGTTGAAAATATAAATTTAAGATGAAAATTAGCAGAAGATGGCGTTTTTAAACAATCAAGTACATGGTACCATAGTTGAGAAGAGCCTGTTGACCCCAATTTTTCTATTGCTAGTTATACCCTAAAACCACTTTATTATGGAGTAATTCGTATCTGTACTAGAGCTCATTTGGACATAAATTTTTTTTTCCTTTTTTCCAAAAAAAAAATACTTTTTTCCAAAATCAGCGGTTGTTCATAAAATTTCCAATTATTCACTTGAAGATGTATTTTGGAAATTTTCGAAAATTTAAAAAACACCAAGAAACTATTTTTTCAAAATTTTCACTCAAATCGTTCACAAAACTTCAAAAACAACCCAAAATTATATTGATGTCCAAACACAACTCTAAATTTCAAATACCATTTTCACTTGAAAAAAAATTTCACCCTATTTTAAAATTTTACAATTCTTATGTCCCAACGCCCGCTAAAATTTGGATTCAACGACCTTGAGGAAGAAGAAATATCATATCAACATTTCTTCCCACAAATCCTTTCAAATTTCATCCCATGTCTTTACAACAAATGGTGAAAAATAGAGATTTCTTCTTTTCCGTCTTACATCAATTACTTGTTTTAAATTACACATTGATCAAACTCAATATCCATCTCTATCTAATAAAATTCGTGGTGCCAAATATCTCAAACCCGAATCTGCTATTTGCGAAATTAAATAAACAGGAAAGCATATCTACACAGATGAGAAAAAAGGAATTTACCCCTCGTCAAAAAGCTATGATATGAAAGTTAAAAAATCATTAAAATACCAAACACATTAATTAATCCTCATAAATACTCTCAAGATGAGGCGTCCATACAGTGATTCCACTTCTCCGGCGCTCATGACGGGACGACGACTTCTTCTCCGATGTAATATATGAATCACAATGATCTGCTGATATATTGGTATGACGACATAATTTCTTGCTTTTATATTTGGGGGTTTTTTTAATTGAAGCTTTCTTCTTCGAATTGGCTGGGATCAAGAAATAAATGCTACCCCTTTTGAGCTCTGTTTCAGGTGACAAGATCAAAATCCGACGAACCATGTTATTTCCATGGGAACAGGGTTTACTTAAAGCATGATTTGGGTAGTCTTTGAGAGCCTCAGCAGCTGTTATTGGCCGTGTAATTTCTTCTACGTGCCCATTCAAGTGTACTATTCGGATCAAATCTAATGCTCCACAAGGAAGAACACAAGCCAAACAGCACCTTAGACTGTTTCCCATCTCTCACCAAAGAGAAAAAGAGGATTATCTTCTTTTTCTTTCTATTTTATTTGTTTTGTTTGGGTATGTGAAGGTTTTGAGTCTGATATTATTATGGTTTGAAGAATGGGGAGCCATGTTTTATATAGGAACAATCTTACGTCTCATGGGAGATGAACAATATTGTGATAATTTTAGAGTTTTTAGTTGGCTGAAAAGACCAAATTAACCTTGTACTAATTTGTTTTTTGTGGGAGGTAATCTAGCGATTATGCCCTTGCTTCTTAGCATGATTCACTTGGCCGTCTTGATTGAGAATTACTCCATATCATAATATGTGTCGTGATTCTTTTTTGCACGCTCCTTAAAAAAATAGTTTTTGATTATTTTACCCTTATTAAATGTTTTCTCAATTTATATATCATCTCTATCAATGACATTATCCATATTTTTGCTAAATGTGAATACAATTGATTATTAAGGGTAAAAAAAAAGAAATATAATCAATTTTGTCTTGAACAACTAAAATGACAAATAATTTGAGACAACTATTTTTAGTAACCGTGACACATTATAAGACGGAGGAAGTATAATTTTTGAAAGAATAACTAAGGGAACGTAGATTATATTGTTGGCTTTCCTTTCTTTTTTTTCCTTGGAGAAGTATATTCGTAAGTCCAAAGATTGTCAGCGATGTTGTTAGTAGAAGTAAGACATTTCGTAATTAAAAATGTGATAATTGGAAATCTTTATTTGATTTGAATCAGTAGGTAATATACATTGTTACGATCCGTTTCACTATTAAAATAATATTCGTCTTGAACTTTAAAGTACTTTTGTTTTGCTAACAAAAATTTACCTAGGATATTATATACATTATATTGACTATGCCAGTATCAATTGCAGCACTTTAAACACGAGGTAGGTGATTATTGTGTTTTATTTAACTGGTCATGGTTCAACAACTTTGAACCAATCCTTGCAAAGTGTAGAAGACAAATGAGAAAGATCATACTATTATAACTCCAAGTTGTACAAAAGTTTATGGTCCCAAAATTAGTACCATGGACAATCATATTCACGGTATCTACGCTTGCCGCATATAGGAAAAGGATAAAAAGAAAAAGGAGGAAATTAACAACTTGTAGACTACAAGTTTGATGGTCATTCATCTATAAGATAGAAGTTGGATCTTTTTATGTGACTCCCGACCGGTCATTTTGAGTACTAGCATTAATTTCAGTGTTCCAAGACCTTTTATAGCTTCCTTTGATGATTATCGATTTGCATACGTAGTCCGTGTTGTTTTCCGAAAAGCTTTTACGTAAATTTTTGAAAAAAATATGATTTTTGACCTAAAATGAGAATTGGGTTGTCCACGGTCAATATTCTTGGTAAACGACTTCGGATCATTATTTTGACGATTCTGGTAGGTTCGTATGATGATTTTGGACTTGTACGCACTTTTGATTGGGATCCGGGGTGATCCGAGCGCATTTCGGAACGTTATATAAAAAATTATGAAAATGAGTTTTAAGTTGAAAGTTCTTGAGATTTGATGATTGATTCTTGTTATTTGATAGTATTATTTTGATGGTTTTAGCCAGTATCAATTGCAGTACTTTATGTGGGGAATAAATCCCCACAAAAATAACATTCACAGTAATAACAACGAAATAATAATATAGTGCCGAGATACGGTAATCAACAAGAATAAAAAGAGCAATAAGGACATAAAGATTTTAACGTGAAAAAACCCTTCTGAATAAGGAAAAAATCGCGGGCCCGAGAGAAGCAAAATAATCCACTATAATGAGGAATTTTACCTTCCATAGTCCCGAGTAAATATTCCAAGAACCAGTATACACTAAAAACCAATAACCCTCTTTTGAGATTCTCACCTCACTACAATATCGCTCGCACTCTCTATTTTTTCTTACAGGCTACACCGCATGTGAATACCTTACACTGCTCTCTGTGCTCTCAAATATATTTCTCTCTGAGATTGGTGTGTAGAAATGAGATCCAAAGCTTTCTTTTTATAGTGTTGAGCGCCCAATCTTCCACCAATCAAAATGATTGGTTATTGAAATTTGCAATTACAAATTGCTTTGTCTGACGCCTACTATTTTTGACAATTTGCAGATTTGCAAATCAACTCCAAAATAAGTTATAATGGAATCTAACACTTTTCCTTCCTTTTTTTTTCTTTTTTTAATTTATGGGGATGGACCCCACAAATATCCCCCTCCCGACCCATTCACCTGAAGAAGGTAACACCAAACTTCTAGCTTGAGTGCATGCCGTAAAGTTCTTTGCACAATTCGAACTTGTCTCTTGGTACCACCTTGGTTAGCATATCTACGGGGTTCTCACTTGTAAAAATCTTCAAGACTTTTAGAGATTCATTTTCTACTATTTCTCGAACCCAGTGCTATCTCACGTCGATGTGTTTGGTCCTTGCACGGTAGATGGAGTTCTTGATAAGATCTATTGCACTTTGATTGTCATAATAGACGACATACTCCTTCTGATGCAATCTAAGCTCTTGAAGGAACCATTTCAACCATATCATCTCCTTTCCAGCTTCTGTAGCGGCAATATACTACACATCAGTTGTAGAGAGTGCGACACACTTTTGCAACCTCGAGTGTCATAATATAGCTCCCCCTGAAAATGTAAACAAATATCTAGTATTCCCTCCGTTTCAGTTTATATGATCCTATTTCCTTTTTGGTTTGTTGCAAAAAGAATGACCCCTTTCTATATTTGGAAATAATTTAGCTTAAACTTCCAATTCTACCCTTAATGAGAAGCTTTTATAACCACACAAATAATCTGGACACCTTTTTGATTTGTTTAGGACCCCAAATTCAAAAAGTCTTCATTTTTTCTTAAACTTCGTGCTCAGTCAAACAAGTTCACATAAATTGGAACGGAGGGAGTATTGAATTTTCTGTTATCAATGTCATCTGCTATATCAACATCTGTATAGCCCTTCAAGATTGGATCAGATCCTCCAAAGCACAAACAATATCCCTGAGTATCCACTTGAATACTTCCTAGTGTTCTTTTCTAGGATTTTTAAGAAACCTCCTGACAACACCAACTACATGAGCAATATAAGGTCTAGTGCATACCATTGAATACATCAAACTTTCGACGACAGAGGAATAAGGAACTGTGGTCATGCTCTCCTTTTCCTCCATTGTTGTAGGACACATTTTCTTGCTTAACTTCAGATGACTAGCAAGAGGTGTGCTGACTGGCTTAGAGTTCTTCATGTTGAAGCGTTCTGTACACGTTCAATGTAGTTCTCCCGTGACAACTACAACTTTCTGCTTGTTTGCTCTCAAAGTATCTTTATACCCAGAATTTGTTGTGCTTCTCCCAAGTCCTTCATATCAAATGACTTGGACAAATTTCCCTTCAACTTAGCGATCAACTCCTTGTCTTTTCCTGCAATTAATATGTCATTCGCGTACAACAACAAAATAATAAAATTGTTATCAGAGAATCTTTTGAAGTATACACATGGATCAGAATATGTCTTTATATAAGTTTGACTTTACATGAATGAGTCAAACTTCTTGTACCACTGCCTTGGTGTTTCCTTCAACCCATAAAGACTCTTATTCAGTTTGCACACCATGTGTTTCCTTTCAGCTCTTCAAAATCTCCTCTTCCAAATCTCCGTGAAAAAATGCAGTTTTCATGTCCAACTACTCCACTTTAAGATCTAGGATAGCTGCTAAGCTCAAGATTATTCGAATAGAAGTCATTTTGACAACAGGTGAGAAAATTTTATCAAAATTAATGCCTTTCTTCTGTTCGAAGCCTTTTACTACTAATCGAGTTTTGTATTTGACTAGCTTGCCATTTCCATCTTTCTTGAGTTTAAAGACCCATTTGTATTTGAGTGGTATTTTACCTTTTGCCCATTTGCACCCTCCAACTCAGACCTCTCAGCCTTTTGCCCTAGTTATTCAAATAGAGCCACAGGTTTTACCCATGTTGAGGGGGAGGGGGGGAGAGAGAGTAGCTCAGGAGGAGCAGGAGATGACTCCTAGCACAATGACAACAGTTAGAGAGAAGTTTAATGCTCCTGCTACTAGGCTTAATGATGGCACTATCCATGTAGTAGAGTAAGAGCACGGAGATGGATCAGCACCTGCTGGAAATGCTTAGGGAGTTCCTTCACCCCTCATTTACTCTTCCTTTTCATTGACGCATCGGGGACAAAGCTTAGTTTTTGTTTGGGGGTGAAAAATTTGGATTGATGATTCTTTTCTAATACATTGTGGACTTCAATTAAAACTCATACCAAGTGATCCCAACATAGAACTACATCATCTTAATATTCATAGGCCACTTTATTCCCCTTCATCCACCCAAAAGTACACCAAACCGAGATATTTGCTTGAAAAATCCCTCTAATAAATCTAAAATTGTTCCTTTTATCTCTCTAATACTTGCATTGTAGAATAAACAATGATACAAAAGTACTCCAAGTCCCTGTCATAATCCAATACAATCTCAAATTCCTTCTCATGATTGTGACCATATCCTCCACGATTGCGGATCACAAACTTCCGACCCAGATTTATTCTTCGAGATTGCGACCAAAAGTCTCTTCGATCATGATAAGCAATGGTGCATCCCTGCACTGCCACCCTTCAATATAATAGACATAACTTTTTATAAGAATATCTAAAAAACAAATGCTTTTGATAATCTAAATGCTAGACTCAAAGAGCTACAACTTTTGTTTTTGGATCATTCCTAAATTCCATATAGGCTATAAGTATAAGCTTCTAAAGTCAGACTACTATCAGTAAAATTTTCTTCTACGCGATCGCGAAGCACCTTCCGTGATCGCGATGCACAAAGTCCCAAATTCCACTTTACTCTTTGTGATCGCGAATCTGGCCATCACGATCGTGATTCATACTCTTGCTGTCAAAAATTTACAGCTGCTAAGTGGCTAATGTCACACCTCCTTTTTACTACCTACATCCCCG